TTTTTTTTTTTTTTTTTTTTTTTTTTTTTGATCTGCGGCTCCAAGGACGATTCCAGAGAGCGGGTGGGAACAAGCTTGGGGCAACAAGCAAGATAATTGCCAGCGACCCAAAAGCCAACGCCGGAATGCACATGCGAGGGACAAAATGAACCTCATGAAGCCGAACCAAAACGGCAGCCGACGATGGGCAGCGGGGCGTCGCACAGTGGCGCCAGCACCCGGCAGACCGGACGGCGAAGGGCAGGGCGACAGGGGGGGGAAAAAAGGGGGGGAAGAGAGGGGCGGGAGAGGGACAGGGGGGCAAAAGGAGCCTCACTCACAGAGCACCTCATGTGCTCGAAGACAGGTCGTCACTGAATCAGGCGTCGGTAAGTAGTCTTGTCGTGAGTCCCGAGTGCATGCGTCCGTGGACGGGGGGGGCGTCGCGTGGGACCACGGCGGCACTACCCACCAGCGTTCAGAGGCCCCGCCTGGGGGGGACTGCGGGCAGGTGTGCACCACCTGAACAGCGCAGAAGGGCAGGGCGTCGTTGGCGTCCGCGAGCGACAAATCCTACCAAAGGAAGGGGCCGATGTCGCTGGCATAGCCGGGAGCCGGAAAACGCCTGCCAAGAGGAAGCACGGCCCTGCCAAAGGATGTACAACTTGTACAGGGCTGGTGGGGACACGCGAAGCGTCAAGAATTTCCCTCAAAATGGACTCTGACATCCGTGTCTTCAGCGACCCAACTCCGCCTCTGTGCTGCGAAACGCGTAAGGGAATATTCTCAAATCCCGTTGAGAGCTCTGGTTTGGTGGTGAATAATCTTGAAAGGGCCCTGGCTTCAGAATTCAAGGATTTCTACACGCTACTGCACGCTTCTTGGCGCTATGGGGGCTTGTCGCGTGACTTTTCTGGAAATCTGGCGGCGGTGTTATCCAAACTGCCCAGGTGTCCCCAGATGGACCCGAAGGACCGACCTGAGGCTCGCTGGGTTCGGCCACGCATAAATTCATGTAAGTTTTTCCTAACCATCCAGTGTGAATTGGGTTCTCGTTTTCAATTTGCAGTGCGCGCCCCATTTCCTCCTCTTCATCTCCTCCCCCTCCTCTCTTTGCCTATGCTATCCACTTGTCAAATTTGGCGCGCCCCTCACATGCTTCTTGGTCCTTCTAGCATCTCCACCTACGGTCTCTGTGGGCGCGATTGCATGGTACCCGCCCCGTATTCGGCCCACCCCTCACACGTTTCGTGGCCCCATAAGGAGCTCCACATGTGGTATCACTGAGCACGACCGCATGGCGTGAACCGCCTCCAAGTCGGCATACCGCGCACGCGTTTTGTGAACCATACGGAACTCCACCGACGGTCTCAGTGAGCGTGACAGCATGGCTTCATTACTGGTCCCCCATTCGGCACACCCCTCACACGTTTCGTGGCTCCATGGGCAGCTCCATCTGTGGTCTCAATGGGCGCGACTGTGGCGCCACCCCAATTTCTGCACACCACTCACACTTTTCGTGGCCCCAGATGGAACTTCACCTCTGGTCTCGGTGGGCACACCTCTCATAAGCTTTGGGGCCCCAGTTGGAGTTCCACCTGCGGACCGCATAGCCGGCGCCACCTTCATGTCTGCACATCCCTGCCACGTGTAGTAGCCTTAGGTGGGGCCTGTCCTCCTACATTTTTTGTGTGACATATATATATATATATATACACATATTTATACATATATATATATATACCATACAGCAAAATGTTCAACCAATGCTCAACAAATAGTCTCCAGATTCTGTTTTTTACTATTTTTGAACTTTCCTCCTGTAGAGGGACAGGCCCGACTTAATAGTAGCCCCACGGTGAGCTCCAGCTGCGGTCCCAGTGGCACAATTTGCCCGGCGTGCCCGCCCCAAACTGGAGCTCCACCGAAGTCCTCAGCGGCAGGGCCCGCATGGCGGCACCCGTCCGTCGCCAATCTCGGCACACCCCTCGCACGCTGCGTGTCTCGCAGGGAGCTCGGGACCTCCCAGTCGGTGCGCGCAGTGCAGAGAGCTTAAATGGCTTCTGCGCGCCTGGTCCCTCGGCTACATGTAAGAGTGACCCCGGGTGAGAGTGACCTTTGGTGCGCGGCTTTGGGGGGGCCGCGGGGGGGCCAACTCCAGGTTCGCTAGCCGCTGCTGCCGCTGCGCGTTCAGCCACCTGGGGGCCCATCTGCGCCCGCACCAGAGGCCACTCCGGCGAAAGGTCACTCTTACGTCTAGTCGAGTCCACCGCCCCCCATCCGCACTGTCCCGGGATCCATCTCTGTCGCGGCGAGCTGCGCATGAAAAGAGGGTCATATCCCGTTTTGCTCGCGGCTGTAAGGGTGGGTTCCTTCGCCAAGCTTTTTTGAGTAGGATTTTACCATGCAGGCCTTTTTGTTTTAAGAGTGTCCCGCGAGGCCCCAAATAATGCCCCAAGGGAAGGAACTCGAATTGACATAGCTGGTCCTCCACCCGAAGATGACCCCCGACACCGCCATCATTTGCCAAAAGGCGGCTTAGAGACCTCCAGAGGCGCCAAAGAGGCGCCCCAAAAAGGTCCCCAAACTGTTCCCGCAAGATGCCCCCCCCCCCCCCCCCCCAAAGGGCTAGGCTCTCCGATATGTCCCAAGATGCATCCAAGAGCAATATTGATTCACGACCTGGGCACTGTGACAGGATGGGCCGAAGGCCACCAAATCCGCAGCCCCAGCCTGCCAGATGGGTGCTTGGAATGCAGAATCCCACCAGCCCTTTGGGCGTGAGTGGTTTAGAGACCCCGCTCTGTCCTCAACCCCCCTTCTTCCCCTTCGGGGAGGGGTTTACCCCTCCCCCTACCCCCTCCCCTGGACCTGGAGAGGGCGGGCCGAGCGTTCTCAGGGGGGTCCATTTCGACTCCTGGGAGGGCCAAAAAACGACGACCCTCACGAGGATTCTGGCCCCGACGGGGGGGCCGAGTTTGGCCCCTCTGCTCGTCTTTGAAGCAGAAATCATTGATTTTACGATGGTTTTGGCCCCATTTTGGCCTTCTGAGGGGGCCGCGCTCATCTTCCCTCATAGCAAAATCATTGATTTTACGAAGGTTTTGGGCTCTTTTTGTATTTTTTCATGGGGGCAGCTCTCATTTGCGCTTCTGAGGAGGTCGCAAGACGCCCCAAGATGGCCCCAAGAGGCCCCCAGGAGGCTCCCAAGAGGCCTCCAAGAGGCCCCCCCAGAGGCCCCCAAGCGGCCCCAAGAGGCCCCCAAGAGGCCCCCAAGAGGCCCCCAAGAGGCCCCACGAGGCTCCAAGAGGCCCCCAAGAGGCCCCCAAGAGGCCCCCAAGAGGCCCCCAAGAGGCCCCACGAGGCCCCAAGAGGCCCTCAAGAGGCCCCCAAGAGGCCCCCAAGAGGCCCCCAAGAGGCCCCACGAGGCTCCAAGAGGCCCCCAAGAGGCCCCACGATGAGCCCGAACGACTCACACCAGGACGAGGGGCCCGAACGACTCACACCACGAAGAGCCCGAACGACTCACACCACAAGGAGGGGCCCGAACGACTCACACCAGGACGAGGCGCCCGAACGACTCACACCACGAGGAGCCCGAAGGACTCACACCACGACGCGGGCCCCGAACGACTCACACCACGAGGAGCCCGAACGAGTCACACCAGGAGGAGGGGCCCGAACGACTCACACCAGGACGAGGGGCCCGAACAACTCACACCACGAGAAGCCCGAACGACTCACACCAGGACGAAGAGCCCGAACGACTCACACCACGAAGAGCCCGAACGACTCACACCAGGAAGAAGGGCCCGAACGACTCACACCAGGACGAGAAACCCCAAACGACTCAAATCACGAGGAGCGCTTTCTCTCCCTCCTCCTCCGCCTCGTCCTTCTCCCGCTCCCCCCACAAGGAGGATGTACAAGGAGGCGGGAGGAAGGAGGAACAGGGGAGATATGCGGGGCCAAGCGGACACACGCCTGAAAAACACGACTGTCGGCATGCTTCGCGAGAGTTGCTGCTGTGAGATGGGCTGGTGGGGATACGCGAAGCGTAACGAATTTTATAACTCTTTCTGCCTTCCTGAACAAAATCCCCAAACCCTCCGCCAAAATTAGTCTGGCCACACGTACCTCCCTGGAAACCATCGTGAAATGAAGACAATTCGCCCCACACTTTACCAATATGGCCTCCAAGACGGTCCAAGATGGCTTGCAATACAGCCTCAAGATGGCCCGACAGGCCGCCGACAACGGCCCAAGAGGCCTCCCATAGAACTTCCAGGAGGGCCCGCAGAAACCAACATGATTCATCGTCCTTAGGTTTTGAATGATTTTCGCGTTCTCGCCCTTTCGGGCTTTCCAGGGCGGCCCAGAGAGGCCTCCAAGACTGCCCCAAGAGGCCTCAAAGAGGGCCCAAAGACCGCCTACAAATGCCCCAAGATGGCTCAAGAGACTCCCAAAATGGCTCAAGAAAGCTCCAAGCGATGAGAAGCAAGGGGGATCGGGAGGATCAGGAGAATGAGGACAAGGATGCGGAGGACGACGGGTGAGCAGGAGTCTGGAGCGCAGTGACGAGTATTGGAGAGGAGTGATGGGGAGGAGGATAATGCTGAAGACGAACGGGATAGAAATGGGGGGGAGGAGAAGTGAGGACGATGACAGAAGCGGAACGACTGCAGAAGAGGCCTCTGAGACGGGCGAGGACGCTGCAAGAGCATCCTAAAAGGCCCGAGACCTTTCGAGAATTGTGTCGCTGGCCCTTCCTCTTCCTCTTGCTCCTGCTTCTTCTTTTCCTCCTCCTCCTCCTCCTCCCTGTGCTCGGCCAGAGTAGTGTGCACCTCATCGCACTAGGCCCGACCAAATCAGAAATAATACCCGACCATATACGGTAAGCTACTCGTTCATTTTATATCGATGGCGGTTTTTAGCAATAACCTGCAACTGTTCGCTCTGATGAGCCCGCCCCGTTCACGGCAAACAACACTTGTGGACGCTGGCTTACGAAGTGCTTCATTTTGCACGTGTTTATGGTTTTACCGCGCGAAGTATAGTGGCGCTCCTCCATCAAGTCTGCCCTCACTGCCAATACACTCATGATCCACGCAGCGCGGCTGGGTCCACTCAGAACTTCAGCTCATGGGGGTACATCTTATCTGACAGAGAAAACTTAGCCTTCAGATAGGCCTTCATGTCGGCTGCCAGGCCCTTCACCACCTTGTCGTCCATGCCTTTCTGGCCTGCCTTCTTCTCATCTGAGATGCCCTTCTTCTCGGCGTCAGCGGCAAACATCGCTGCGGACTTCTTCTTGCTCGCCTCCTTGGTGAAGTAGGCGTCATCGACTTTCGAATAGTCTGCGCCCTTCAGGTCCACCTGAGAGCAGCTGGACAAATCCAACCTCCTGGCGCTTGCTTCCTTTATGTTCCTCCACCCCCTTCATTCCTACATCGTCCACTTATTTATGTAGAGGTGCAGATGCAAGTGTGTGTATACATAGATGCATATGCACACAGACTTGTAATGCCACTACGTCGGCGCAATTGGACCGACATGTACAATATGCATACCAAGGCGTGGTAGGCACGCGTAGGACTACCCGAGTAATCATACAACTACGCAGACAAACGAACTCACACACTTGACACACCAAGAACGTGAAGCTCCGCTTTTGTCAACTCGGCTCGGACGACCAATACAAGACGAGAGATGAGGACGACAAGAGGCGGATGAAGAGGAAGATAGCGTAGCTGACGAGGACGAAACGAGGAGGACTGCAAGAAGGAAGATACGCACAAGGACGAGGAGGAAGAGTCATTATGGAGAGGACGAGCTCGAGAAGGAATCCTTCAAGTAAGACCAGTAGTAGGAGGACGGCACCTTGGACGATGAGGAGGACAGCGTGGATGAGGAGGGGGAGAGCGGGAAGGACGACGAGGACGAGGCTCTCTCTCTACCTATTTCTCGAGGAGGCGAGGAGGAGGAGGAAGAGGAAGATGATGATGATGAGGAGGAGGAGAATGACAAGGCAGGAGGGGACAAGGACTACGTAGAGGACGACTTAGAGAGAGAAGCAACTTGAATAAAAGCGTGGAAGACAATGAGGATGACAGTAAGGAGGACGACGAACAAAAAGGGGGACTAAGAGCACGAGGAGAAGGACGTGGAGACATTGCGAGGCTACCCTGGGAGCTGGTGGGACCGTCTGGGTATGTCTTGAATCCTCTTGGGAGCCTCTTGAAGGTCTTTTGGAGGCTTCTGACCTTCTTGGTTGCCTGGGCGTGTCTTGGGGTTCTTTGGGGGCTCTTTTGGGCCGTCTTGGCGCCCCCTTGGGCCGTTTTGCGGCTCTCTTCGGCTGTCTGGGGGCCGCCTGGGGTGCTCGTGGGAGCTCTTGAGCGCCTCTTGTATCTCCTTTTGGGCCCCTGCGCGTCCGCCCGAAGTTCCTCCAGACTCGATGCCGACACGATGTCAGGAAATAGTCAGTGCCAGAACCTCTCCAGCGCGACAACTATTCGTCGTCGTCGTCGCCGTCGCCGTCGTCGTCGTCGTCGTCGTCGTCCTCGTCGTCGTCGTCGTCGTCGTCCTCGTCGTCGTCGTCGTCGTCGTCGTCGTCGTCGTCGTGGTCGTGGTCGTGGTCGTGGTCGTGGTCGTGGTCGTGGTCGTGGTCGTGGTCGTGGTCGTGGTGGTCGTCGTCGTCGTCGTCGTCGTCGTCGTCGTCGTCCCCCTTGAAGGTCGGTGGCACTGGGTCAAACCTTCACAATAGTCCTTGCCGCAACCTGTCCGGAGCGACAACTACAAACAGCCAATCTGTCTTCACGATGGTGGGCCTCCCGGGAGACATCCGCAAACGAGTTTCCAGGTGCGTCCTAGACCCCCCATAGGAAGAGAAACATACGCGTCAGCCGCCACCGTGCCTTGGCCACGTCGTGCAGTGCCGCACAGCTCACTCGTGCGCTCTGGAAGGGTCGACAAAAGGGTTTAGGCACTCTGCCAGGCAGTGCCTGCACTGAGAGGATCTTGCTTCTTCTACGACAACGAGTGGCCAGGACCGCCGAGGTTTCGGCACGTTGCCGCCCGTGGTCGTTCGTGGGCGGCCCGTGCGCCGGGTGGGTCCGCCGAGGCTCCGCTGCGCTGTCGCGCGCGGGCGGCCCCGCGCGCTGGGGTCCGCCGGGGTTCCGCCCCGCTGCCGCCCGTGGGCGCCCGCCCCGCGGGCGGCACGTGCGCTGGGTGGGGCCGCCGAGGCTTCCCCCGCGGTGCCGCCCGTGAGCGCCTCGTGGGCGGCCCGTGCGCCGGGTGGGGCCGCCGAAGTTTCGCCACGCTGCCGTCAGTGAGCGCCTCGTGGGCGCCCCGCGCGCTAAGCTCATACCACGTAGCGTGCACGACGTACTCTTCATTCACCAAATAGTTCGCACCGCATAACTTAGACGTCATGCATGTTGCAAAAGATAAATGAACTTATCAACTGTCCACCCGTGGGCGTATTGAAACGGTGTGAGATTGCATACTCAATGAACGATGTTGTTTTCATGTTCCACACACGTTCAAACCATTCCACCCAACCGGGGAGCCCCCCATCCCAATCAATTAATTCCATGCGCACGTATCAAACAATTGTCTTCGTCAGGTCTTTCTTTCAACAGCTGCACAACGTCAACACGCGCGCGAAAACGCTGACATCATACCCAGCGCATTTGTTGTGTGCGCGCTTCGCCAGAACACCATCAAACGTCCCCATGGTTTCCATGACAAGTCTTGCAACTTGTCTGCCCGCGCGCATGTGTTGCAATCGTCGGAAAGACACATACTTTCAATTACTTCGTCGAAAACCCACATGCTCATGTCACAACGCGTTGCATCTGCGTTGGTCGAACATGCACCCAATGAAGGAGTCCATATCCAATATTACCATGCGGGCCACACGCGCGCGTGTGGCCCGCATGGGCTTTTAAACCGTTTTAAGGTAAAGCTCGTCAAAATCATATGAACGAACACATATTTTTCCACCAAGCATGCTGCCAAATTTATTTGATTTCTGCGCGCACGTCCATAACCATCACCTGCATCCACGCCATCGCATGACGGTCAGTATCGTGATCACAAATCGCCACCACTACCGACATCATCATTTTCATTTTCATTTCATTTTCATCATCATCATCATCATCATCATCATCATCATCATCATCATCATCATCATCATCATCAACACAATCCTTCACCACCGACACATGGACATCAACATCGTCGTCGTCACCAGCATCGGCGCCATCATTGACCTTGCCGTCGTCTTCGTCATCATCGCCACCTCCACCACCGCTACTATCATCATCGTTGCTGCTGTTTTCGACGTCATGATGATACAACGCCCGCCCGAATCACAAACCCGCACTGGAGTGCACGCGCGCCAGCGTTGCCTTAAAACTCGGTGGAAAGTTGCTACCGGTACGCACCATCGCGGCCGCATCAGTTGTGCCTAACCAGCTGGTCGTCCTGCGAGCGACCGTGCGCGCAAACGCGGTCGTACAGCTGCGCTAGCACGTGTCCACCAGTGACCGCAGTCGTGACCGCATGTGTGTTGCCAAAGAAAATGCGGGTAAGAAGGTGGTATGTTTGCGCGGGCATTGGGGCTGACGACTTCAACAGCTGCAAGGTGGGTTTTCCATTCCAAAAAGAATTGGACTCTACCACCCTCGCCCGAGGAGTTATCTGACCCCAATGGGGCACGTCAAAACTGTATACGAGTTTGCTCCATCGTTCATGTTCCAAATGAACTCGTGCAGCTCCAATTGGCTGGATGGTTATCGGCCTGCCCCCATTGTCAAAACCATGCGCGCCTCCTCATTTTTAATACACGTACCATTTGCTGCTTACTATCTCTTGTGAAACACTGCGCGCCGTCCACACGCGCGCACATGGTGAAGTCATACCACGCACACAACATATTCGCAAACCGTTCAACGTAATAACATCAACAACCTAACGGCTTCCATGACAGAGTGTGCACATGTTCTGCCCGCCCGCATTTGCTGACATCGTGGGGGAACCACATGATTTTAGGAACCTCGTAGAACCCCCACGCTCTCTTGTCACTGCGCGGTGCGTCCGCTCTGATCCACCATGCACTCAATGCGCGGACCCGTATCAAATCACGCCGTGCGGGCCACGCGCGCGCGGTGCTACGCGCTCGTGTCAACATCGAACCCAAACCACGGGTTTTGGAAACATCTCCAGTCGAGCTCTTCAAGAACGTGTCAACAACTCATGGGTTTCAACCAAAGGCCTGCCAACCTTCATCGGCGCCGACGCGTCGCGTCGTCGTCCTCGACTATCGCCGCCGTTGCCGCCATCATCACTCAAACAACTTCGTCACCGACACATGGACATCACTATCGTCGTCGTCACCAACATCGGCGCCGTCATCGGCCTTGCCTTCACGATCGTCATCATCGCCACCACCATGGCTGCTATCATAATTGCTGCTGCCTTCGTCGACGTCATCATGATACAACGTCCGCCCGAGTCACCGACCCGCGCTGGAGTGCCCGCGGTCTTTGAGACGCGCTGGGAAGCTGCCATCGGTACGCGCCATCGCGGCCGCATCGGGGGTCGCGTGATTGCGCGAGTAGTGCAATTGACCACTCATGAGTGTGTAAAACCTAATTGCACCACTGAGCTTGCACCGCGTAACTTAGACCTTCAGCTCACACTTTCCACACTACTTCAGCGACATCGTTAACACAACATATGGTACAGCGCATAGCTATCACCTTCATGGCTAACACCACATAGCTAACACGACAAAGCTTGTGCCACATGGTTTACACCGCATAATTTCCACCTCCGCGATGCATGCCTCACTGTTAGGGGCCTACGCTGGCTTAACATCAACTGAAGCTCGAGCCCTGGATTCGGAGGAATTCCCGGGCGGTCCTGAGCGCTCTTGTGGTGTGGCGCGTGACCTACTTGGGCACACAAGTACCTCAACGACAACATCATGTCCGTCTCAAAAAACCCTTGCTGGCGTGGATCCCGAAAACGAACCGATTGCACTCTGGAGGGCGCAATCGATGTGGTGCAAGCTACGTGATGCGATCTATGTGTTGCGAGCTAGGTGGTGCAATCTTAGCGGTGCAAGCAATCTGGTGCAGACTACGCGAGGGGAGCGACGCCCACGGGCCGTGACTCGGCGCACCCCCCGAAAACCCAGCCGACACACGACGCGCGAGGCGCCAGCGGGGCGCCCGCGGCAGGCGCCCGAGCGCAGGCCCGAAGGGAGCCAACGAATATGCACGAGGCGCCCCCCGGGGAGCCATCCCCATGCCAGCGCACGTGGCGCCCACGTGGCTCCCAGCGGGCGGCGGCTGGGCGCAAAACCCCGAGGCCCGCGCCAGCGCACGAGGCGCCCACGGGGAGCCCGCGTGCCGCGACGGGGCCACGCGCCCGAGGCCCAGGCCCGCGCACGAGGCGCCCGCCGGGCGCCCGCAGGCGGCGACTGGGCAAGAAGCCAGAAGCACGTGCAAATCAGCGAGGAGAGAAAAGTAGGAGACCCGTGAGTGCGGACGCAGCACGTGTGATTTCCACACCAGCTCTTGGCCTCGGGGAGTGCGCCCGTCCAGGTGCCAGGACCTTGCCCGTCCAAGGCAACCCCAACAGCCCCCCTCTGGAGACCTCCAGAGGCCCCCAAAGCACGGTCGCCGCATGGGCCAGAGGCCACTAGGTACAGGGTACTCCATGTAATGCGTGAGACAACCGTGGGACAGATGGCAATGCGTGGTATCGCGACGTATGCAAAAGGGCATGCACCTCTTTGCAATGACACATCCCTGTACAAACATGATGACTTCCACCCAACGCCCCCCCCCATAAGGCTCTGATGTGTGCTGTGCACGCTGTGTGAGCTCTGCCTGCCCCAACCTTGAACGACAAGAGCTCAGGCATTACAGCCGAACTCATTTTGCTCTGTGTTGCCGCCAATTTTCCTGGCTGGCCCTGTTCCCGTTTGTCCCCGGCAATCTCGGAATCTGGTGCTTGTCTTTCATTCCCTATACCATCGCCTGGCTGATAAAGAATCCAATGAGTCAGCCAAACAGCCCTGATGACTCCATGGCTGGTCTTACAAGGAACCCGGGGTCTGAATATTTGATGGGGTCAATTGAATCGGGCCGCCCGACCTTGGCGCTTGTCGCGATACAGAATCGCTGGTTCACGCGCCTGAGGGGCACCCCGTTGATCGCGTATGGGCCCGTGACGAGCAGCAGACCGGTCTCGAGCTGCTTCAAGAACACCACGCGGCGGCCGCGGAACCTGCCCGCGAGCAGGATGAGAACCGAGCCGGCCTCGAGACCCTTCTTCAGCTTGGGCGGGGTGGCGGCCTTCGACGCCTTGCCCGCGCTCTTCACCTTCGTCTTCTTGCCGAATGTGCGGTGAACGCAGCGTGCCTGGCCTGCCTTTCCCATCGGTCAACTACCACGCCCCCGGGCAAGGAGCTGCTCGGCAGCGGTCCGCGGGCGCCTCGAGAGGTCCTGAGCCACAGTGGCAATGAACCTTGGAGCGTTCGGTCACGCAATGAAGCCCATACTGCCTCTCTGAACCATCCTTCGAGCCCTGGCTGGCGCAATTCCGCAGTAACAGAATCTATGGTCAGAGCCAGTGGACTGCATTCTGTTGCAGCTGATCGAGCCCGCCACCGTGTCGACGGCACGTTGGGGCGTGTTAGGATACCTTGTAGCTGTCTGGTAAGAGTTCCTGTAGCTTCCCAGGGGTGAACCTCCCCCTCATCTCGCGCGCCCGTGTGAGAGATCGCCACCACCACGTTTTATCTCCTTGCGCGCTACGCAATCCCAAGACAAGTCCAAGTCGGCCCACCGTTACCCAACGACGGCTGGAATGTGCCCCGAGATCGGCCTAAGGCAGCCCCCACGCCAGCCCACTCCCCCTCTCCAGAGACCTCTCGATTTTCCCGACAGATACCTAGAAGCTCCATGAGAGCCCAAGGTGCGTACAGGAGTCCTCCATCATGGTCCTGAGAGCGAACAGTTTTTAGGTACTGAGCGTCTTCGAGTGCCTTTAAACTTCCAAGCTCTTCGGCTAAGGATGACCGCAAGAAGGCGTTAGAGCGCTTAGGCTGACCCAAAGACCTCAAGCAGCCACCGAGATGGACCAGGGCGGCCCCCAGAAAAGCCTCAAGATGGCCCTATAAGCTGACAAGATGGCCCCTGACTGCCCCCGCGGGGCTCCAATACGGGCGCAACACCCGACCATAATGTCCAAACGTGGTCCTGCCGAATGTCCTCGGGAGAGATCAGGAGAACAGTTGGGCCCGAAACCAACACCATGACCCCAAGATGCCCTCTGAAGCGAGCCCCCCAGGAGGCTCTCGAGAAGGTCCGAAGCGGCCCAACAAAACTTTCAAGAAGTTTCCAAGCAACAGCGGAGCAATCATGCAACACCATGATCACGCCAAACCATAACATCGCATCGCTGCTTCCTAGACGCCCTCGATGTGGTCCTGCCGAACATGGCCAGGACAATTCTGTATAACCATAATGCATGCAATTCAATGCCGCGCTGGTACCTTGCCCGAGTTCACCGTAAGCAGTTGGACAACCTGGCAACTTAATTGATCCCCAACACCAGCGACGCAGTCGGTGCTCAGGTGCCACGAGGAAGTGTTACATGACAAGCATCCGCTGTGCTCACGATTTACATCGGGCAAAAGTGGGTGGACAAATTGCCAATCCCCCAGGAGTGACCTTTGAAACATTGGGTTTCTGCCCATCCAGACCGCATAACAGCTCAACGCGTGCATGCGAGCACTGCTGAGAGCACGAGGCGGACATGTAACATGCCTAGCAGGTCGTGAGTGCGGAGGAGAGCCAAGAACGCAGTGCTGAGAGGGACACCCAAAGACCCGAACGCTTCAACCCGAATGTCGGCTGACATGTTCGATGGAGACGTGCCTCCCCTGCGGCCGGCTGTCGCCAAATCGCTTGCACAGGCATGAAACCACCCTAATGAAGTAGTCTGGTGAGGTATCGCGTGGACTGCATGCTGCAAACTCTCTGCGCAGCTCTGCGGGTCCTGTGCGAACCACCCCTTCTTACAAAGCTAAGCCCGGCGCGCCGCCGACCATGACAACCATGGCCGCGGCGCTGCTTATCGCAGCCCCAATTCGGCGCTGGCCTGGCTCCATCGTTATCCCTACTTCACCTTCTTCTTCAATCGGGAGCGGCCAAGAGGGGGGTGTCCAAGAGGGGGGGGGCAAATCATGACAGGCGGCATGTGCACGGCCCAGGGGGGGGGGCAGGGACGTAATGGAATAAGACGAGGCGCCACGAAATCTGAGGAAATATCACGCCCCCCGCCATGAGATCCACTCCCCCCTAGTCATCACCCCCCTCTTTGCCGCCCCCGATTCAAGCCACCGTGCTCACGACATCCTGGCCTGGCCTCAGCACGAAGTGCTGGCCGGGGAGGGCGCACCCGGAGCCAGCTCCCGCCGCGGAGCGCGGCTTCCACGGGACGACTCCCCACCTCGCTCCGCCGCGGGCGCGGCGCCCGCCTCCTCGGAGAGGCGCAGCCCCGCAGGCTCCAGGAGGGCCGCTGCTGCTGCGCCCGCTGCCGCAGGGCGCGCGTGCTCGCCCCCTCCGCGCGGCAGGGGGCAGCTGGCAAAGGCCCGCCCTGGGCCGCTCTGCCAGTGCAGCGAGGCCCGCGTGACGAGAAGCCCTGCGGTGAGAAATCTGCGGGCACCGTCTTCGTCGACGCAGAGCTCCGCACGGTGCTCCAGGGCTCTGCGGGCTCGAGGGGAGATGCTCCAGGTCTCTCAAGAGGCGTGGGGGGGGTGGACCGCGTGGGGGGCAGGACACCGCTGTCCTTCGGGGGGCGTGGGGAGGCTGGGGAGCGAGAGGGGGTGGGTTTGGGGCGCGTGGGGGGGCGGGCAAGGGGCGTCGGACAGGTCAGAAGGGGGGGGGGTGCTTATCGAAGGATCTGGAGTAGGGCCTTTTATCTTGAGTCACCAGTGGGCAGCCCCATTTCTTAATGGGTGTGTCTACAGTCGGACTTGACTGGGCAGGACACGTGAGAGGACACAAGACCCTTCAGAGGGCCACATTGCCATAGGAATGTGGGAGGCATGGGTCGCGAGACACAGGACACAAAGGTACGTCAGGTTCGTGTCGTGACGACCCCGGCGTTGGTTTCTGACTCCGCGTGGATCGTTCAACCTTGAACGATCGGCGACTGTGGATCGCTCGATCGTTCCATATGGGCCGATTCTGGGCCACTGGCGGCGTTCAACCTTGAACTCCCGCGGCGGGGTCGCCGCCGGTCGACACGACGCGAAAGTACCGTACCCTTGGTTTGGCAAGGTCGACCTACTAATCCGGGCCGACTGTACGGTGGACTGCGATGGCGAGCTCATGGTGGCTGGGAGGCTGTGCCGCCGGCCTCCCCGAGAAAGCCTGGCGTGCTCAGCTGGCTCGAGCCCTCGAGGACCACGGCCCTCGAAGGCAACTCGCCGGTGGCCCCGGCCGACGGGCGGGGGACGTCGGAGACGGAGCGTCGCTTGTCCCGCCTCTCGTCGATAACTCTGGGACCTCGCTGGCCCTGGAGGCCAGAGGGGCGAAAGACCACGGAAGGGCCCCGTCTTCTTTGCCCGTTCGTGTCCAAGGGTCCTTGACACAACTGCACACGGGCGGCAAAGGACCTGAAACATCATAAACAATGGATGCAAGAACCACTCTCCTGTACTGTACATTTTTTGTACATAGGGGAGGGCATACGGGATATCATATGGTAAAACGTACAAGGGAACATACAGGCGGGACAACATAAAGGATAGCACACGGGAGATCATGCGGGAGACCTTACGGGGGGCAACACAGGAGAGCAGCGGGGAGAGCATACGACATCACATACAAAGGAACATACGGGAGACCATTCGCGAGACCGTGCGGAAGACCATACTGGAGACCGTGCGGGAGACCACTTCGGAGACCATGCGGAAGAACGCGATCCACCGATTCAGGACCCGCAGATAGACCCAACTTTAGGAACGATGCAGAAGACCAGGAATCCCACCAGCCCTTTGGGCGTGAGTGGTTTAGAGAGCCCGCTCTGTTCTCAACCCCCTTCTTCCCCTCCGGGGAAGGGTTTACCCCTCCCCCTACCCCCTCCCCCTGGACCTGGAGAGGTCCTTTCGCGGGTGGTTGGAGGGGTCTTTTTCGACTCCTGGGAGGGCTAAAAAACGACACCCCTCACGAGGATTCTGGCCCCGACGGGGGGGGGAGAAAAAACCCGCCCCTCTTCTTTGAAGCCCAAATCATGGATTTTACTACGGTTTTGGCCCCATTTTGGCCTTCTGAGGGGGCAGCGCTAATTAAAGCTCCCCTCTTCTTTCAAGCCAGAATCATTGAGTTTACTAAGGTTTTGGCCCCATTTTGGCCTTCTGAGGGAGCAGCGCTAATTAAAGCTCCCCTCTTCTTTGATCGATTTCCTCCAAGATGGCCCCAAGAAGCGCCCAGGAGGCACCAAGAGGCCCCAAGATGGCCCCAAGAGGCCCCCAGGAGGCCCCCAAGAGGATCCCAAACGGCCCAAAGAGGCCCCCCCCTAGGCACCCAAGACGCCGAAAAACCCATTAGGACGACCCTCTACTCGCCTGGGCGTCGTTTCTGGACGGGCAGGAGGAGGGGCCCGAACGACTCACACCAGGACGAGGGGCCCGAACAACTCACACCACGAGAAGCCCGAACGACTCACACCAGGACGAAGAGCCCGAACGACTCACACCACGAAGAGCCCGAACGACTCACACCAGGAAGAAGGGCCCGAACGACTCACACCAGGACGAGAAGCCCGAACGACTCAAACCACGAGGAGCGCTTTCTCTCCCTCCTCCTCCGCCTCGTCCTTCTCCCGCTCCCACCACAAGGAGGATGTACAAGGAGGCGGGAGGAAGGAGGAACAGGGGAGATATGCGGGGGCAGGCGGAAACACGCCTGAAAAACACGACTGTCGGCATGCTTCGCTAGAGTTGCTGTTTTGAGATGGGCTGGTGGGGATACGCGAAGCGTGAAGAATTTTGAAGCTTGACCCGCCAACATGGGTGTGTTAGAATGCATGTCATCTGTCTGGTATTTTTTCGAGGGGCGAACCTTCCTCATTCGCAACCTAGGACGCCCCCTCCGGACATGATGCTCTTACCAAGGCGGCCCAAGAAGGCCCTAAGACAATGCCAATACCCTTCCAACTGACCCCAAGTCTCTCCTGACGTCCCTAGAGCGCGGGAATGAATCCCAGCAGCCTGAAGCAAGTCCCCAAACAGCTTCCCGAATGCGTCCAGGACCTTCCTGGGAAGCACAGTGGTTTCAATAGCTTTTCGCTTACCAAGCTGTTCGGCCGAATACCGGCTTCATCCAGGATTCAACAGCGCCCGAGATGGACCCCAGATAGGCCAAAGGCTCCGCAAGACGGTCCGAGGTCGCCCCCATATGGCTCCACGACTGCCCAACACTGGACCAAGACGGCTCCAAGAACCCCAAAGGCTCCAGA